TCTACTATTTATATTGAAATCATTTTGTATAACTGTCTGGTCAAACACATATACACTTATACCAGTGATAAAACTACAGCAAGAATGAGTAATACAACAATCGGATGGGTTAAATAATTCAAAACCCCATTGGCCTTACTGGAATATCCAAATAAAGTTTCCCACCAATAACCGCTAGCATCCTTTTCCAGTAGATGCTCCACCTGCCTTATTTTATTCTGATCATGGTATATGACTATGGTAGCATTAGCCCTCTCTTGCTGTAGTTTCCTCAGCAGGTTTTCATCTTTATCCCAGTCTGTCAACCAATCCTGCAGTTTTCTTCCCATACCCATATCCAGGGCCCCCAGGCAAACAGGACTGTTATAACTGATCTCTTTGGCCAGATGGGTGAGCGATGGTATTACATAATTCCATTTTTGCGTCTGGATTTCGTAGACATTGCCTTTGGTACACCAAGCACCTCTCTCTACCACCATGTCTACAGAACACCCCTGTTCCATAACCAAAGTGACATTGGTACCCTTCAGGACAAAGAAACACACTCTTCTATGTCAGAAGCATTTTCCCAACACTTCATCTACTATTTCATATTGGCCCGGCATACACAGGACATTATGGTCACATCGCAGACAGCGGGAAATATCAACTTGCTTCCCCCATCTCTAATCACATGCTGATAAATTAACCTAGGATGCAATGCTGTAATCCCCAGTAAGTACGCCAATCGACATCACTGAATATACAGAACTGATGAGCGATTCTGTATACGGTATTAAAGAGGATGCATAACAACTTTCATAATCCGAACCGGTACAACCCACCCAGGTGTTCGCCCACCACTTCGGGCCAGTGTAAGTGCTACGACTAGGCAAAACCTTACTGGATTAGGACGCCAACTCATATGGCCATCGCCCCTCATATAGAGATTGCACGATCAGCTTGATAGAAGTTGATAATTCCAACTGTCCCTGTATGCATGCCAAAGCCCATGATACATTCTTTCTTTGCGTCACCACGCTGTCAACCAACATCCTAAAATGGCTAATAAACACCAAGGTCAAGGTGGCTGGAGATTTTTATGTGGCTCTGTTGGATATTATTGATGCTATTAATTTGTCTCTGTGTAGCGAATCCCTGCCTACTATCGGACGCTATAGCAGAGAGCTTGTTCCTCAGAAAACTGAGCGACTTCATTAACACCCTTCCCTGCTCCTATTCTCCCCAGTATAGTGCTGAATACCTTTCTCCTTTCACGGTTTTTCTCCAGAAATAAGCATCCTGAACAGAGACCCATATGCTTCTGTGTACCTCCTGGGAGTAAGCCAGTGGCATAATGACAATCTGATTCTGCGAATATTCAGCACATATTGGGTAATAGGTCTTTATCAACCATTAAGAGATGTTAAAGTGCCATATGGTGAAAGCATATTGAACATTTGTAGCTAGTGTCTGAGAAGAGCTTAGATCTATTTGGAATGGTTGCCCTTTCTCCAACAGAGCATGTTTTTGTGAGGAGCCATTGGCACCACTTGTGCATGGTTCTAAATGTTCAGGTGAAATATTAATGAGGTGTATCCCTCCTATATCCAGATTAGGTGCCCCATAGATCCAGTGACCTATAGCCTCCCTTTATGACTAAGTTTGAGATACCACCCCAACCAGGAAATGGTCTCCTCATTGAAGTTTCATCTGAACTTCTCTAGCTGTACCCACAGACCTCTTGCTGTGCTTAAGAGTCAGAACCCTAGGTACTTGTATTATATTCACTTGGCTGTTCCAATATATGCCACACACAAACATATATTTCCCTTTTAAATCCTCATTGAAAATCCCATAGCCCGTTGGTGATGAGTTGGATAGATTAGATTCCGCCGCTAACCCATAACCCTTTGTATTCATGTATATAGTTGCATCCGCATACGTTTGGAGAGATCCTGGTATTATGCTTTGCAAGCCCTGCTTATCTGCACTTCGTCCAAAACCAGAAGTCACTTTATACAAAACGTTTCCTTGGCAACCCCATTGATAGGTATCCGGTAGCCTAGGACCTTCCAGTACAAGCTTAACCTTCCTTTTCCTGCTATCCTTCCCTTGCTTTCCCTCCTGATCTAATAACTAGGGATGTCCCGATACCGATGCTAGCATCGGAATCGCGTCCGATACAGGGCATTTTGACAAGTACTTGTCAAAATGCCCATGGGGTCCTAATTTAGGTGGCCGGAGACTGCCGATGACCACGCTCAGAGCGCCGCCCACCGAGCAGCAGTGACGCGACGCTCGGCGAGGTAAGAAAGAAAAAAAACCAGCAGCGGCGAGTCAGCTCTGGTCTGGGGAGAGGAGCTCCAGGTGGGGGTTAAAATTTAGCTGGCAGGCACCTCTGAGCCAGCTAAATTAGAACCCCACCTGGAGCTCCTCCCCCGGACCAGCGCTGACTCGTCGCTGCTCTCTCCGGTGTTCAATCACTGAGTGAGGGCAGATTGGGGGGGGGGCACTATTAAGCAAAGTATCATTGTAAATGTATTGTCTGCACTGTATTAGCAGTACAGTATATACTCTATATGTACTACATATAGAGTACACACTGCTAATACAGTGCAAACAATACATTTACAATTATCCTCTGCTAACATGAATGGATTAAATGATCTGTATGTAGCCCTGTACTAGGGATCATTTAATCCATTCATGTTAGCAGAGTATAATTGTTAATGTATTGTTGCAGTGCACTCTTTGTACATGTACTATTTACTACATATAGAATGCACTGCAACAATACATTTTACAATTATCCCCTGCTAATATGAATGGGTTAAATGATCCATAGTACATGATATATAGCCCTGTACTATGGATCATTTAACCCATTCATGTTAGCAGTGCAGAATTGTATATCTTTTGCTGCAGTGCATTCAGCACAAATGTCCTGTACATTGCAGCAATAGCTTAACAATGATCCCCTGCGAACATGAATGGGTTAAATGGTCCATAGTACAACTACATGTTATGTACATATTATGTACCATGGATCATGATTTAACCTATTCATGTTAGCAGGGGGATAATTGTAACTATTGCTGAAGTGTACTGGACGTGTGTACTGTATATGTACTATGGATCATGATTTAACCTATTCATGTTAGCAGGGCAGAATTGCGTGCACCTCCCACAAGCTGAGCACCGAGACGCGATGCAGCGATCCTGCCCAGCACCGACTACAAGAGACACCGCGTGAGGCAACAGGGATCGAGTTTAACTGTGAGTGAGGGGAAGCTGGGATGGGGCTGGCTGTAAATCTATTGCTATAGTGTACTGGACGTGTGTAATGTAGTAATGTAGTAGTGTAATGTAATATATGGAGTACATAGTACACCTCCACTACACTCCAGCAATAGTTACAATTCTGCCCTGCTAGCATGAATAGGTTAAATCATGATCCATAGTACATAACATGTAGTTGTACTATGGATCATTTAAAGTCACCTGTCCCTTTAAGAAAAAGTAATTTCCTGATAGTTTTACATTTGTTCAGGAGTCCCCCCCTGGCCCATA